AGAAATTAATCAGGAAATGGGAGAACTAAGAACTGCTGTGCTACAAAATAGAGCTACTATAGACTAGATAGGGGCAGACAACAAGGACCTGAGGAGAATCTCCTGACAGGCTCTAAATGTACTGAAAAAGCAACAAGGAAGACAGTTCTACAACCCTATAGTGACTGTATTTACCTTAACAGCAAAAAAGTATTTACGTGAGTAATGGTACAATTTGAAGAAATCTAAGAAAACTACTTTCCCCACTGTCAATGCCCTTCTTTTATCCTCAAATGTTACCCTTAAGTTACTTTGAAAGGTAGACATGACCAGAAATCTGTGAGCCTTATGTACTTATGTCATTAGAAGAATCCCATTCTGATCCTTTCTAAAAAGAGTGGTTTGGATAATAGGACAAAGAGGAGAAACCAAGTTCTAAAACTTGCCAAGGCCAAAAAGACAGCCCGAGCATGTGACAACTCTGAACCTGCATCCTTGGAGCCCTCTGAATGACTTCCACCTGGATTCACAGGTCTGAGAATCTCCTCCAGGCAGCTCAGTTGGTCAGAGTCTCTACCCTCAGGCTTGTTTACTTGTCCCATAAGAGTGAGTAAAAAGGAGGCATGTGAATCTTGTAAGTTTCAACTTTCCCAGACATGTGAAGTCTGTTTGCTTCCTGAGTCTCATGAGACTCCCCCCGACTTCTTCCTGGGGGGAATGTGTATTAATTCAAAGGAAATTGGTACACAACACACCTCAGCTCTCAGTTCATGAAAAATGTAAAGTGTTTATTCATGGGGGTAGGGTGGTTATATATATTAAGGGTACCCAGGTCAATAATCCCATAGGGTAGTAGAGCATTCTTGCCCCTTTTCTTAGTTTTTGGTGAGTGAATTTGCTCTGTGGTATTCCTCTGCTTCTCCAACAGCTAGGAGAGCTGCAGTTGATTGTTCCAGTTCTGTTAGATAAAAAAGATGTCAGAGGATTGCTGCAAAACAGAAACAGGGAGGACTCTGGCAAAGTGAGAGTTTATGTCGGGGTCAGCAGGGCTGGGTCTCAACTCGGGAGTGGGTGAAACCAGCAGTCTAATGGCTGTGGAGGGGTAGCTTATAAAGAGAAAAGAACGAGGAGAAAGAAAAATTTTTGGCTGTTTGGGAGCTGTTCAGGAGGGCATGGGGTCTGTACCTGGTGAAACTTATTGTGGAAAACATTTACTGTAAAACATGTTCTCTACAATTACAGGGTTCCAGTAACCCAGTGCAGCTACAGGGCTTGGGAAACCTGTTTGTCAACTTGTGAGGTATGCTGTGGTGATCACAATGCATTGGGTCACCAATTCCTGGAGCTGCTTTTGTCAGCTTGCAGGTTGCTTAGTTGGCTGACTTAGTCCCTCTTAGCAGCCTTATGGTTTTTGGTCTGGGGTCACCTGAACCTGAACCCTATCATTCCAGCCTTTTATGTTATAGGATTTTGGGCAGCTTTTCTCATCTGGCTACTTCCTGCTGGGTAAGTCGTCACAAAAGGGGGAGGGGGGGTTGAAGTAAGGTGATGAGGCTGGTTCTGGAAGTATTCCTCTCAGGCTGATGTTTTCTGGTATCTGTTGGTATTAGAGCATTCCCCATCCATCATGTCTGGATGTTTATTTTATATCCTGTGTGTTCCTGAGCAGGCTTGAGCTTAGAGAGGCAGATCCAGCCTGGTTGTCCTAGGAGTTTGGCTGGCATTGGAGTAGACAGGATCATAAGATGGGGTCCAGTCCAGCACGGCTAGAGGGTTCCCTTCAGTCCCTTGTGTGGACTGGAAGTAGGCGTAGTCTCCCAGCTGAAGGGGATGGAGGTTCTGGTCTTTGGATGCCTATGGAATAATCCAGTCAGCATGCTCCCTAAGGAATTTTCATAGAAGAATGAAAGCAGGTATGTAGTCATGGAGGGGAGAGGATTGTTGGAGTGGCAGATTGTTCATGAAGAAAGGCCTGCCATACAAAAGCTCAAACGGACTTTTAAAAAGCTGGAGCTTGTGGGATGGCTCACAACCTGGTTAGAACTAGGGGTAGGAGAATGACCCAGGATTGATGTAATTCCAAGGAGAGTTTAATAAGGTGATCCTTGAGGAGAGAATTAGTCTGTTACACCTTGCATGATGACTGGGGATGGTAGGGAATATGTAGTTTCCAGGCTATTCCCAGAGAATGAGACACCATCTGGGTCACTTTAGAGATGAAGGCTGGGCAATGTCTGATTGGAGTGTAAGGGGGAGGCCAAAGCAGGGAAGGATGTTTTGGATTAGACAGCTAGCCACTATATCTGCCATTTCCCCCATAGTGTGAAAAGCCTCTATCCATCCTGAGAAGGTATCTACCAAGACTAGTAGGTACCTGAACTTTTTGCAAGCTGGCATATGGGTAAAGCCTAGTTGACAATCAACCTTGGGGAGAGCTCTTCTATGTTGGTGGGGTTTAAAGGAGGGAGGTGTGCAGCCCCTACCCTGAGGGGAAACAGTGGCACAGATGGGGCAAGAGCAGGTGACTTCTGTGAGAAGGAGAAGGAGTTTAGGATAAAAAATGAAGGGGTTCAAGAAGTTTATAAAGTGGGCAAGCCCCAGTATGAAAGATGTTATGTAGGTGTGTCAGGATGGATGAGACCTGGCCTTCTGGTAGGCAATACCTGTCCCCAGAAACGATCCATCCTCCTGGGGAAAGTGTAGTCCTTTTATCTGAAAGAGATTTATGCTGTTGAGGGGTTTAGGAAGGCACGAACCCTGATGGAGCTAAGAAAGACAAGTTAGCAGCATGATATTGCCATTTGCTGGCCTCCCTGGCCACTTGGTCAGCCAAGTCATTGCCTCTAGCAATAGCATCAGTGAGAGGTTGGTGCCCCTACAATGGACTACAGCTACCTTGCCAGGAAGATAAGATGCTCCAACAATTTAAGGATTAGTGTACTGTTAATAATGGGGTCCCTTTCGTGGTAGGTAGACCTCTTTCTTTCCAGATAGAGGCATGATGGTGGAGTATATGGAAGGCGTAGTTAGAATCTGTGAAAATACTGATTTTTTTATTTTTGGCTAATGTTAAGGCCCTGGTGAGTGCTATGAGTTCTGCCCTCTGTGAGGTGATGCCAGGAGGTAAAGGTCTAGACCCAATAATGCCTGTGAGGGAAACTATAACATATCCTGCTCTTTGGGATCCTGTAGAGGTCAGGGTTGAGCTGCCATCCACAAACCAGGTTAGATCTAAATCAGGTAAGGGCTTGAGAGAAACCAAGGGGTCCCAATAGGTGAGTTCCTGGAGGGTCTCCAGATATGAATGAGTGAGTGGAGAAGGGAGGAGCAAGGCAGGGTTAAGGGGAGAGCAGGAGTCTTAAGTGATTGAGGGATTTTCAAGGAAGGTGGCATGAAAGAGTTGAAGCTTAGATCAAGTGAGAGTGCTAAGAGAGGAGTGGGTGAGGAGGTCCTTAAGACAGTGGGAATGGGGAGGAAAGAACAGAAATAAGCTGGCCCAGGGTGAGTTTAAGACCTTCCTAAGCCAAGAGGGCTGCAGCTGCCAGGGCACAGAGAGAAGGCTGCCATCCTTTGAGGGTGGTACCTAGTTGTTTTGAGAGATAGGCCACAGGGCAAAGGTTGGTCCTTCATTTGTCTGAGGACCGCCCCCACTCCCCCAGAGCCAGTCCTTTATTTTCAGTTACAAATAAGAGAAATGGGGATCCTAGGTCAGGGAGGGTTAAAGCCGGTGCCTCTAAGAAAGCCTGCCTTATGGCATGGAAATCCGCTGTGATTGGTCCCAGGGGCTCTACAGGTTCAGAAGGGTCTCCTTTGTTTTAGGGAAATGGGGTTTTCCATCTACCCCCACCACAGAGATCTATGAGGGAAAAACCTTACCAGAGTAGGAGGGAAGGACAGACCACAACCTCCCTGCCACCCCCCATGTCTATAATAAATGAAATAGAATTACAAGATACTGTTGTCATTACCCTGGGCTCCTCCAAAGTGAAGGTCATGGATGAAATGGGCACTGAGGAACCAGGGCCCTATCAGTCTTTGGCTGCCAGGCCCAGAATATCGGTGACTGACTCCTGCGAGCAGATGGGATTTGGAGGAGACTGGCCTACCTTGACATGGTAAAGAAGGACAATCAATCCTCCAATGACCTCTATGTCCACATTGAGGACAGGGTCCCAGTGGTGGTCATGGGTTGGGGCATTGTTTGGCCCAGTGTCCAGTCTCTTCACATCTGAAGTAGGGTCCCGGCAGCTGACACAGTGTCACAGTGGAGGTGGATATTGTCTTCTTTAGAGGAGCCCTTAGTGCTCTGGCCAGCAGCTGGTAGTTTTGTTTAGACAGGGCAAATTTGTCTGTCATAGCCTGCTCCTCCCAGTTATTTAAGACTTTAAATGCCATTTCTGACAGATCTCCCTAGGGGGTATCTGGGCCCTTTTCCAGCAGTCTAAATTTTCTCTTAATATCAGAGGCAGATTGTAATGAAATGATGGTTAAGTATAAATCTGCCATCTCTAGAATTTGGATACCTGCTGTACAGTACCAGGGCCTCAGTAAGTCTAGCCAGAAACTGTGCTGGGTTTCCAGAGGGGTTTGGGGTTATTTCCTTTAGTTTATCAAAACTGACAATTTTATGGGAGGTTTTCTCTAATACTGAAGAAGACAAGTAATCATAAAATTATAAGCCTTTCTCACTTCTCTTCTGTGATGGCTAATATTGGGTGTCAACTTGACTGGATCTGGGATTAACAGAAATGAGAGAGATCTTCTTAATTGGATCATCTGAAGTTGGAAGATATGCCCTAAATGTGGGTATTATCTTCTGATGGCAGCCCGTATAAAAGGCCATGGCAGAGAAGAATGCTTGCCTTCTCTCTTGCTGGTGAGTTCATCTTGCTGCTGTAGACTGAAGACTACTTGATCTTTTGGAATTCCTCAGACCTTCAGCACCAGAATGGGACTACTGAGACATCCAGCCTCGTGGACCGAGCAACTACAGATTCTCAGCCTCTCCAGTGTGGTGCAGCCATTGTTGGACTACTCAGACTCTATCCTGTGAGCTAAGCTGATAAATCTCTATACATATATATTCATTCTACCTGTTCTGTTTCTTTGGAGAACCTTGACTAGTACATCTTCCATCCTGAAAGTTATATCCCGAGTCCTGGCTGGGGACAGTAAGAGTCCCAGCAGAAGAATCCTCATAAGTTATATGAAACAAAGTGGGCTGGGTCTGTGGACAAAGATCCTAATTTTTTTTCTCTATTTGGTACATATTGTTAAGAGAGAAAAAGGGGGTGGACTCTGACAACTCTTTCCACCCTGGCTACTGCCAGTACAGGCTTGAGCACTGTGGGGCATGGGGTGGGTGTGACTGAGCAGTTCTCTGAGCCATCCCCAGCCCAGCCTGTGACCCCAGGCTCCAACGCTGCCCACTCGGGCTGCGTGGGCCCCGAGCTGCCGACAGCACCCCTCACCCAGTGCCCTCCCTCACTCTCTGGTTGGTCAGGTGGGCACCCGAGACTTCACAGGGCCCAGGCTGGTGACCAATTGAGGCATGTGAGGCGTGGGGTTTGAGGCATCCAAATTTCTGGGGCAGCAGTGCAGGCAGCAGCAGTGGCCACCTCTTGAGAACAGGATGGGGAAAAGGGGAGGGGGTAGAGGGACTGCCGTCAGTAGGAGGGGCTCTTGCAAGGGGACCTGGTGGGTCTGGCAGGGAGCAAAGAGGCAGGGATGGGTGTGAAGAACAAAGAAAGCTTGGACATAGGGGAGTGTGGACCATCTGCCTTTATGTTGGCAGAAGTTATCTAAATCTCTTAAAATACTGAAGTCTAAGGTTCCTGTCTCTAGCCAGATGAACCATTATGTAACTTGTACCATGGCCAGGTAGTGGTGCAGAGAAATTTTAGGCATTTAGGTCTGACAGAGAAGATTGAGGGTTTTAAAGATTTCAGAAGGCAAGCAAATGGGGTTGAGTCCAGCAGGTTTAGAATTGAGGTTGCCCACTTTAATTAAAGGGATGAGGAAGAGAATGAAAAGGGTGGTTAGTGTGAGGAGATAAAGGAGGAAAATGAGAGATAAAGAAGGGAAGTGAGAAGGCTATAAGTATCTTCTGGGGAGGAAGAGGTCAGGAGTGAGACTGGCACAGAATCAAGTGCCAAGGGAGAGAGACTGAGAGGACAAGGACAAGAGAGGAACGAGGCATGAGAGGATAGGCGTGCCAATCATCGTGCAGGACCAATGTCCAGAGAGGCCATCCCTCCGTGGAGAGGGTCCCAAAAGTGAGAGTGTCCCAAAGTCCCTAGAGGCAGTGTCCCACAACTAGGGAGAGGAAAACGTGGGATCACCTGACATACCAGCATGATTTAATGAGGAACAGGAGATCCAATGACTGTATAGCATGGAGAAGAAGGAGGGAGGGAGGGAGGGAGGGAGGGAGGGAGAGAGAAGTAGAGAGGAGAGAGGTAGAGAGGAGAGAGAGAGGGAGAGGGAGAGAGAGTGGGAGAGGGAGAGAGAGGTGGAGAGGAGAGAGAGAGGGAGAGGAAGAGAGAGGAAGGGGAGGTCAGGAAAAGATTTGAGAGCATTGGACAGATGGGCCAATCTGCCAGGTGGACTTAGGCAGACAAAGAAACCATGACAGACACTCAACAGTCACAGAGGCCCATGCTGCCCAATGGCCAAAGTTTTATGTCCGAGAGTGACTACCAGTTGCGATGAAAAGGAAAGTGCCAAATGGCAGGGAGAGGGAGGGTGGTGACATGGGGTGGAGGAAGGGGGCTGTGAGAGAGAGAGAGAGAGAGAGAGAGAGAGAGAGAGAGAGAGAGGAGAGAAAGAGGGGGGAGTACCTGATGCCAGAATTGATGGTGAGTGCAGGGGCCGGTATCCTGCAGTTGGTCTGGCCAGAGTCCTCACTGCCATACCCCAAATGGGCGATCCAAGTCATGGCACCATATGTTAGATTTTGAAAAGTGGCAGGGGTCGGGATCACTGTGAAACAGAAACACAGAGGACTCTGGCAAAGCGAGAGTTTATATAGGGGTTAGCAGGGCTGGGTTTCACTCAGGACTGAGTGAAACCAGCAGTCTAATGGCTGCGGAGGGGTAGCTTATGAAGAGAAAATGCAGAAAAAGAATATTTTTCTGCTGTTTGGAGCTGTTTTGGGGCTGTTCAGGGAGGGCGTGGGATCTGTACCTGGTGAAACTTTTTGAGGAAAACATCTACTGTTAAACATGTTTTCTACGATTACAGAGTTGTAGGAACCCAGTGCAGCTATATGGCTTGGAAAACCTATTTGTCAGCCTGTGGAGCATGCTCTGGTGATCACAATGCATTGGGTCACCAATTCCTGGAGTTGTTTTTGTCAGCTTGCAGGTGGCTTAGTTGGGTGACTTAGTTCCTCTTAGGGGCCTTATGGTTTCTTGGTCTGGGGTCACCTGTCCTGAACCCTATCATGTTCCTTCCTCCTTACTAGCTCCAGATTATAAATGTCTTCTCCTTTCCCTCAGAGCTAAATCAGAGATCAGAGATTCATCATCTTTCCCTTTTGTTTCTATTCCCAGGACTCTGACTTTCTACAGAATGAAACCTATTTGCTCCCTTCTCATCTTCATCTCCCTTCTCCAGCTGATGATCCCAGTGAAGACTGAGTGGACCTTAAAGTCTTTGGTGGAGAAAAATATCCATGAAGCCCTCAACACTCAAGGGAACATATGGGGTAGGAAAGATCACAGCTTAATCCTGACTTATACCTCCCATTCCTAAACCATAACTGCATCTTTATGACAGGCCAAGATCTCAGCCTTAATTAGTCCTCTGCAGTCCTGCCTTCTGAACCTAGGACTCCTTTAATAGCTTACTTGCTTTTGAACTCAGTTAAAAGTAGAAAATGAGGAGGAAAGGAAGATTAACTGTTATTTATGAAAATATTATGAATTAGATATAGCACAAACTTCTGGTTAGTTCATTTAATTTTCATGTCACTTTACTTGATGAGCATAATTATTACTGTCACTTCAAAAATCCAAATCCTAAAAGTTATTGATTAATCATCTTATGGAAACAGTGACATGTCCAAGACAGAAGAGGCCTTGGAAGGGGGCTGTAGAAAAAGAGATCATGGGCAGTATTACTTTTGTTCCTACTCAGAGTATCCTGTTTCCACAGGTGCTAAAAAGGTTTCATGCACTAGTGTCGCCTCATCAGCCAAGATGGCCACTTGTCCTGCTGGTGAGTAAATCCACAATCAAAGTTTGTGATTAAGATGCTCCATGCCGTCACCCACCCATCCCTTAAAACCATCTTTCCCTAATTCAGATTTGATTTAGCATGGAGCTGAGTAACAGTTCCAAGTTGCCAGAAATCCCTTATTGATTTTAATATTCTTTAAGGATGCTATTGAAGAACCTTGGGTTTCTAATTTCCTTTCACTTCTTCCTATCATGCCACATGCCAGCCCTTCCTGTCCTCAGTTTTCTGATCATGAACATGGCCCTCATTTCTTTCCCTATGTATTCCTCTGTATTGGTGGGAGGTATCAGGATAGAGGTGAATTTTCCATTAATTGAAAGTTACTGAAACTTCAATTTCTAAGTCCTTCTAGCTAAGTAATTTTTGTATTTTTTTTCCTTAAAGAGAGTTCTCAAAATTGAATTATCATTATTCCACACAAAATCTATATCTGCCCCTGAGCTTCCTAGGAGGAAAAGACAGAGTTGTTCCATCTTTTGCAGTTCAAGGGCTTTGATGTCCATGTCTCACATGCCCCTGCAGGGATGACTGTCACTGGTTGTGCTTGCGGATTTGCCTGTGGTTTCTGGGATGTGAAGAATGAAACTACATGTCACTGCCTGTGTCCTGTCAGACTGTACCACTGCCCTCTGCTGTCAACTGGCCTGAGATGAAGAGGTTAAGAACCCAGTTGTACAATGCTGACTTTAAAGAAACCATGATCTCAACCAGGAATCTTGACTCAAAATGTCATAATACATTCATTTTGTGTAATATTCCTGCTTCTTGAATAATAAAGACAAACTTGTGCCTGTCTCTGTTTATGTCTTTAATGTTATTATCCTAGTTTGGGATGCCTGCCCAGAAAAATATTTTCAGAATATCATTAACTACATCTCATTATGACATGAGAAATGGGTGATCAGGAAAGAAATGGGAAGAATGAGGAAATGTATTGACCCTGAAGCATTCTCTCTCTCTCTCTCTCTCTCTCTCTCTCTCTCTCTCTATCTCTCCCTCTCTCTCTCATTATTTAATAGATTATTGAGCATATTATTTGGAATGGAAATAGAGAAAAGCAAAATCCATGCCCTCATGGAGCACAACCAATGGAACAGTGAGCTCCAAACCATGTGCAGGAAGACTAAGATGTAGACAGGTAACAAAAAGTTTAAAATAATTAATTTCTAAATTTTCAGCATTTATATATACTCTCTAAATCAAGTGTGTGAAATGGCTTTCATCAAGGTGGCTTCTATTGCCTTTCTCCCTATAGCAAAAGAACAGTACAGCCCTCACATGTCACTGAGCCTTACTACAATGCATCATCCTGGGGTATAAAATTTAACAGACTTCCAAAGGAAGGAAAAATAATTGATGCCAATGTTAAGCAAGAGAATGACCCACTGACTTCATAGGAACTGTGATTTAAATTGAGGGACTTCCAAGTGTTGTTCTTCACAGTATTAAAGGAGAACATAGCTCAATTGTCAACTTTGAAGTATCAAAAACTGTTTTAATAATAAAGATTGGTGGCATGATTGATAGCTCAAGAGGGATTAAAATAAACTATCAGTAAAATAAAAATCTCTCTTCATTTACTTAATTATGACCTTAGATTTCTCAAAGCCAAAAAGCATGAGAAAAAAAAGTAGGAATATAATTGGAATATATAAATTACTTAGGGGAAAAAGCCTAATCAATCCCTCTTAAGAAAAATATTTATAGGGGGCTACAGACATAGCTCAGTGGTTGAGAATACTGGCTGCTCTTGCAGAGGACCCGGATTCTATTCCTAGCACCCACATGATGGCTGACAATCACCTGTAACTCCAGGGGAATCCTATGCCTTCTTCTGACTTCCTTTGGCATTGCACAACACAGGTGCACTTACACAAAAGGAGGCAATACACTCATTCACATAATAATAAAAATAAAAATAAATAAAATATTTTTTAAAACTACTTATAAATATATTTGTATTTGTCAATTATCTATTAAAGTATTTTATAAAGGTTCTCTTTACTTATGTACTGTTGTTCACTGGAATTGTAGTTTAATAATTCTATTTATAGCACCTTGATTGAATATTTTAAAATATAGAGCAGTCCACAGCATTTTCTTTTCTCAATTATTCTAATGCTAGTGACTTCCATTCTAGAAAAATTAAATCCCATGTATTTGGCATGACTAAAAAAATTCTGCATTCTCTGTCCACTGGTGATACCTCTGACCTCATTTCTCACCCTTGCTCACTTCACTCTGGCCACATTCGTGTTCTTGAACACTGTTACCTCCTATCCATCATAAACAAATAAAGTAGGGTACCAAGCCCAACTCTGTGTCCAAGTCAACTTCTTCTTTTGCTTTCCATCTCTCTTCCTCTACCTCAATACTAGTCATAGAACAACAGATATTATTTTAATTGAGGTATCTGGGTCCCAAGGTGTTTATAAGAGAAACAACTGTTTATCAAAGAAAGAAATATACCTCTAAGAAAGAAAATACAGAGGTTAAAGATGGAGGTCACAGGTTAGTAACAGCAGAAACCAAAGTCAGATTTTAGAGAGCATGTTAACATAGATATCTGCTGACTTTGTGGTCCATTTTCTATTTCTTATATTTCATCCAGAGTACTAATGTGTCCTGCCTTGGAGAATAAATTTTTATTTAAACCAATGATGGAAATCTCACATTTCTAGGCCAAATATTCTGTTTCCCAACCATCTCTGTATAAGGTGAAGTTGCACAGAGAGCAGGTGACACAAGTGAGATCATCTCTATTTGAGCTTTCTGAGAAACTTTGTTTCTTAAACAAACAAATAAACAAAAAACCCGGAGACTCAACCCTTTCTCCCCAGTACTCGAGGGAGGAGCAAATATTGTCAAAGTGTATGATATACTGGAGTGAAAATGACTTTACAAAACTCATCACTATGTATAATGATTACATGACAAAAATTAACATCAATAACCCCCAAACAGGCTCATAATTATGCAGGACACTTGTTTCTTGGGCTGCTTATCTGAGAAGATGCTGTCTGGAGCTGTGGAAACTGTCATCCAGTCATAGGATTTTGCTGCTGCTGTGTTTATTGCTGTTGTTGTGTTGTTACTTTCCCATGGGTAGCATCAATAGAGGCAATATCATGCTATCCGCGTAGATGATATCCAGGAATCTTTGATTACACATTTTCTACCTTTTCCTTTTGAACCAATATGAGTAAAGGGCTTATAATTAGAGATGTTATCAAATTTGGCAGTTTCTGCAAGATAGATGTCTTATGGGAATGCATAGAAGAAAATACAGGGTGGCAAAGAAAGAAGACTTCACCACCACCACCAGCCCAGGCAAAAACCAGAGCAAGGGCAGGCACCTCTCATGAGGTGTCCCAGATGCTTTCAGAAAGTTTGTTCCTCACGAAGTGCCATGGATCCCATTTATATGTACTCTCAAATCAAGTGCCTGGATTGGCTTTCATCAAAGTGGCCTCTTTCACCATTGCCTTTTTCCCAGACAGTAAAAGAACTACCTAGCCCTCACCTGCCACTGTCTTACTACAATGCATCATCCTGGGGTACAAAATTCAACAGAATTCCAAATGAAGGAATAATGAAAAATATTGATGCCAGTGTTAAGAGAATGACCAGTTAAGTTAGGAACTATGATTTAAATTGTGGGACTTCTGTGTTTTGGCCTTCAAGTTATCGAAGAATATACCACAGTTGTCAACTTTTTAAGTATCAAAAATTATTTCAAATAATAAAGATTGTTATTATTGACAACTCAAGAGGAATTCCAATAAAGTAAGTATCAGTACAATAAAAAACCTTCTCTCTTCATTTACTTAATTGTGATCTTCGATTTCTCAGGGCTAGCAAGCATGAAGAAAAGTAGGAACATAACTGGATGCAGTTATATATCGCCAACTATATAAATTACTTAGGAAGGAAAGAATCTAATCTCTCCCAAGTAAGAAAAATATTAATAGGGGGCTGGAGAGATGATTCAGTCCTTAAGAGCACTGACTACTCTCTCAGAGAACTCAGGATTGATTCCCAGCACCCACATGTGGTCTGACAAGCATCTGTAATTCCAGTTAAGGGAATCCAACACCTTCTGAACTTTGTAGGCACTGCATGACACGTGTGCACTCACAGACATGCAGGTGGTATGCTCATACACATAAACTAATAAGATATTAAAAGATATTTATAAATATATTGTTTGTATTGTCAATTATCAAAGTGTTTTATAAAGGTTCTGTTCACTTATGCACTGTTGTTCACTGGAATTATAATTGAATATTTCTATTCATAGCAATTTGATTGAACATTTGAAAATATAGAACAGTCTATGGCACTTTCCTGTCTCAATTATCCTAATGCTAGTGACTTCCATTCTAGAAAAATTAAATCCCATGTATTTAGCCATGGCTAACAAAATTCTGCATTCTCTGGCCACTGGCTATACCTCTGACCTCAGTTCTCACCCTTTATCACTTAACTTTGGTCACACTTGTGTTTCTGAACACTGTGACTATTTCTCGGTCAAATATTCTGTTTCCCAACCATCTCTGTATAAGGCAAAGTTACAAAGAAAGCAGATGGCACAAGTGAGACCATAGAAGACCTCTGTTCCAGATTTTTGAGAAACTTTGTTTCTTAAAAAAGTCAAAGGATCAACCCTTTCTCCCTAGTACTAGAGGAAAGGGCAAACATTGTCAGTGTATGATATACTGGAGTGAAAATGTCTTCATGAAACTCATCACTATGTATAATGATTACATTAAAAAATTAACATCAACAACCCCAAAACAGGTGCCTAATAATGCAAGACACTAGTTTCTTGAGATGCTTATATAAGAAGATGCTGTCTGGAACTGTAGAAGCTACCTTACAATCTGGGATTTTGTTGTTACTGTGGTTATTGCTGTTCTTATTTTTGTTACATTCCCATGGACAGAATTAGTAGAGGGCAATGTCATGCTAACCATGCAGATAATATCCAGGAATATTTTACATATTTTCATATTTATTTTTCATATTTTAAATATGATTACATATTTTCTACCTTTTTCTATTGAACCAAAGAGCAAAAGGCTTCTAATTAGAGATGTTATCAAACTTGACAGTTTCTGCAAAGGTAGATGTCTTATGGGAATGCATAGAAGAAAATAAAGGGTGGCAAAAAAAGAAAGAAGAGCACCCCCACACACAAGGTTAAAACCAGAGCAAAGACAGGCACCTCTCATGAGGTGTCCCAGACAATTTCAGAAAGTCTGATCCTCACTAAGTGTCATGGATCCCAGGTACTGCCAGAACATTTATTGGTGGAGGGGAAAGAATGACCTTCTCAAAGCCCACAGCTCTAAATAGCACCTGCCTCCCAACTTCAGGAGCTTGTTAGTCCAGCCAGTAATTCTGATGCATAGAGTCTTCCACAGCATCTCTGCTTCTCAAGAGACCTACAAAGAGATCTGGACATCTCTAACTCTGCTGCTTACCCTTCTAAATTCCCTTATCACCTGGTTCTATTTTCCCTACTCCTTTTCCTCCCTTTATCTTCCAGCCATTCTTGAGCAGTTACTTAGGTATTTTATGAACTCCTCCCTACCATCCTCTGATGTAACCACTGCCGGTTTTCTATCTTACAAAAGAGGAAAATAAAGTTTAGAGACTTTACATAATTTATACAATGGCACACATCTATTAAGTGACTTGCTCTTGGACAGTGACTATTTCATATGAGCAAAAGGGTGATGTAGGCTTGAGAAAGGGGGCTGT